GATATAGTCCTTATGGCAGAATCGCTGGAGGACCTAAGCACTATGCTCAATGACCTCAATAGTGTTTCCCAACGGATAGGTCTTAAGATGAACATGGACAAAACAAAGATTATGTTTAATGTCCATGTCACACCTATGCCGGTAGTTGTTGGGAACACTAAGCTCGAAGTTGTTGACGAGTATGTTTACCTGGGACAAATAGTCCGACTAGGTAAGTCCAACTTCGACCGGGAGGTCAATCGACGGATTCAACTCGGCTGGGCAGCATTCGGGAAGCTACGACACATCTTCTCGTCAGACATACCTCAAAACCTTAAAACGAAATTGTACAACCAGTGCGTGTTGCCAGTGATGACTTACGGAACTGAGACGTGGTCCTTCACTGCTGGCCGTATGAGAAAGCTCAAGGTCGCTCAGCGAGCTATGGAGAGGGCTATGCTCGGAGTTTCTCTGCGTGATAAACTTAGGAATGAGGATATCCGCAGTAGAGGGCCGGCCATATAGCTCGAAGAACCGACAACCGATGGGGAAGAAAGGTTCTCGAGTGGCGGCCTCGTACCGGTAGGCGAAGTGTAGGGCGTCCCCCCACGAGATGGAGTGACGACCTGGTAAGACATGCAGGAAGTCGATGGATGCAGGTGGCTCAGGACCGTGCTTTGTGGCATTCTTTGGGAGAGGCCTATGTTCAGCAGTGGACTTGTGAAGGGTTGTAATGATGATGATGATGATGACTTAAATAAGAAATAATTAATTTAAGAGCATCACTTCTTACACCCTAGTGTGAAGTTTCCTGATTAATGTTTCATGGTGAACACAATCGAAGGCCTTGGATAGGGCACAATATATACCCAAAGCATCCTGTGAATTCTTCTATGCATTAAAGATATATTTAATCAGCTCAACACTGGCATCAGTTGTCGGGCGACCCCTTGTGAAACCAAATTATTTTTATGAAGAAAATTATTTATATTAAAAAAAAAAATTACATTTGATCAAGAACAATTTTTTCGAAAATCTTACTAAGTGTTGGTAGTACAGAAATAGGTCTAAAATTGGCGGGGTCTAATGTACTACCAGATTTAAATAAAGGTATTACTTTACTATGCATCATTAAATCAGGAAACACACCAGATTCGATACTAGTATTAAAAATAATACCTAAATGAGGCGCGATTGTATCTATTATAGACGCAATAACTTTAACGGAAATCCCCCACAGATCCGCAGTTTTCTTAACATCAATAGTTTTAAAATATTTTACAATATCTTTTGATGATACTTTATGAAATGCAAAATTCTTTGTACACGCATTTACATTTTGTTTAAGTAATGATTCGGCGACGGCAGGAGAAGAATTCAGTGACTTAGTGGTTAAGATCGGAATATCAGTAAAATATTTCTCAAAAACCATTGCTACGTCCTGATCTGATACAGTTAATTTGTTGTTAACACTTAACTGGTAATTTGAATTGCGAGAGTTGATCTTACCAGTTTCGCTATTAATTATACTCCATGTAATTTTAATTTTATTGGAAGCCGTCTTAATTTTGTTGCTCAAATGCAAAGACTTGGCTATGGAGCATACTCTTTTAAATATTTTTGAATATTTTTTTACATATTCCCTAAATTCGACGCTATGATTACATACACAGAAGTTTTGAAAGCAAAATGAACCTTAAATTACGACATACAAATGCCAATGAACACTTACCTTTATTTTTGCTGCGAGCAATATCAGCTGAGAATAATATGCAGAGATCGTGTTACCGCACACCACCTGACCGGCAGCAACGTCATATATCAAGACGACGAATGCGTCATCAAAACAAACGAATACGATTTATGGACACAGCAGTTTTGAAAGCAAAATGAACCTTAAATACGACATACAAATGCCAAATACAGCACCGATAATAGTATATTTCATTACGAGTGCGGAAAGCATGTCATGTCATGTCACAAATGTCTACCCGAGCTGAGGCGCAGCCGAAGGTGAGGGTTGACAGTCGGAACAAGTTGCAATGACGGTTCCGCACGTGTTCTGAACAACTATTTTTAATAGTTGCGAAAAAAATGAAGCAATTTAATAAAGCATTTTTGGAAAATGGCGCCAACTGTAAAAGAATATAAGCAGAGATTTTTTTGTTTTCTTCACCCATTCTGGGTAAGCAAAGGGAACTATGCCCATACAGCCAAGTCTTCAGTAGAATATTTTTATTGATATGAAATGAAAATTAAATTTAATGAGATGAAATGAAATGAAACCTAACCTAACTCTAGCTTCTTTTTAGAAATATTTGCATGAATCATAAAAACTTCTATGAATTTTTTTTTAGTAAAAACTTCGTGGTTGGTTTTTTCTTTTTAATAGACATTATTTTGATAGTTGGGAAAGAGAACGCACGAGTTTGGAAATGGTAAAGAAAAAGCACGAGTATGTAATAGCCCATATCCCGAACGCTATACGTCCCTGCAATACGCCACTTTTTGAGCAACTGTATTAAAAATTAGATTATAAATATGTCGTTAGACCACTATTTAGATGACAATGATACTGTAGCCGAACTCACAGTATCCAAGAAAGACATAACAGAGAAAATTAAATCATTAAAACAAAGCAATGTGAATAATGGACAAGGTGTATCATTTCATGATATTCACCGCTACGCTTTAATTTACTGCATCGTCGGTGTTATACTTCTGGTGGGAGTGGTAGCAGCATGGCGTAAGGTGCGACGGAATTGGAACAACCCTAATGTAGACCCGACAACGGAAGAGCAGCGCGGCTCTCGCCCTCATCCTGCGCCGCGAACCAGTATCTCCACTTCACAACAGGATATTCAGATGGTGGACATGGACATTTCAGGATGTGAAATCGTGCATTGCTATCCCAAAATTAGTGTTCAGTGATCAGTCTTTATAATATGTGTTTTCTTATTTTTTTAATTTTATTGTTTTATGTTATCTTCATCCCCCGGGAATATGTTCGGTGAAACACCTTTGTCAGCAATTTGCGCTACGCCGCTAATTTGTTTAGTGCATTTACGTTACGCAACAATATCGGGGCCATTAATAACAATTTATTAACATTTTTGTGTTTCAAATATAGTGATTTTTTACTGTTTTGGACGTTATCAATTCAACATATTTAACAAACAACCAGACACACCTCCGACAAAACAAATGATGATATTCGCAAGTCTAGCAATATAATCTTGCAACCAAAGCGAGGAAAAGGCATGGATTAAGATTTTTAGACACAATTGAATTTAATTTGGTAATTTAATTAAAACTACTACACTAGAGTTCACTATCCATTTGAATCTTGGTAGACATTGTCATATTCTTTATTAATCACGAGACGAGAAAAATTCTACATTGAGAGCGTGTATTCAAATATGCGCAAATTAAAATCTACACGATCGCTCTAGAACGGCGTAATAAAGACCAGTTTAAAGACCTTACAGTTGGAAAACGAATTTACTTGTGCAGTGCGAGCGTGCGCACTTCACCGAGTCTGACAGACAATACATGCGATTGGCGCGAGCGTGTTTTATTGTACTTAATTAACTAATTATACGTGCCGTTTTTGAAAAATATAATATCTAGAATGGTGAACTACTGTTATAGTTATATGATGGCTCTACCACTGTTATAGTTATATAACAGTGGTAGAGCCACGCGGCAGCTTTTGCTGTCGCACGAATGGGCCGGCTCGAACCGGGGTAGTACCACGACCTCACAGGAAACTAGCGTGAAGTAGAGGTTTACCTCTGCGTTTCGCTTGGTGAGTGCAGGTGGCCCGGAGGCCCTTTTTACTGGAAATGAGGCATTCCATCTTAGTCCTCACGGGTGACAACGCATCTACATTTTGATTTGTAACAGAGGATAGATGTAGATGTCTATGGGCCGCAGCTACCACTTACCATCAGGTGGACTGTGCTCGTTTGTCATCCTTTTCCTATAAAAAAAAAATATGAGTTACTAAGTAAAATTGAATTCAAATGACGGCCATGCTTATGTTTATAATTAAATTTAACAATCGAAAACTGGAAACATCTATAAAAAGTAAGTGTCACGAAATTATTTAGCAGTGCAACACTTTCTTGTAATAATAAAAAATGATCTTGTTCAATAAACGTTTTTAACTTATAAGTATGTACATAATGTTAATAAATGATAATGAATTGTATTATAATATCCAAAATTATTTTATTTCCATTTTCGTGAAAACCCCTAGCATACGCTGGCCGCGTAAATACTGTGCGCGGCAACATCCCCTGACATCAAAGGTGTTTCACAATTGTAAGGACATACAACTGTGTAAAAATGCACTACAATGCTCTTTCTGTGTGCGTAATCGCTAAGCAACAAGTACGAATCATTTAGATACTATTATTTTTAATAATTTAATTTTGTGTAAAAAAAGGAAGTTTCATGTATTAAATTTCAAAATCGCAGATTTGTGATTGACATTGACCGACTTTTTCTGGGGCCACATGAACAGAGAAAATTAAAGAAAAGACTACTTTAACGTACTAAAAGAATAAAATAATTTCAATATTATAGCTTTTGAGCTCGGTGCTAAGACATAGTGTATAGAAGAATTAAAGTCCCGACCTCAGAAGCTATTATGTGGATTTTTTTTATTTTAGTACATCAAAGTCGGTTTTACATTTTTTACTCATTTGAGTGGACTAAGGAATATCAAAAAATCAAGGTATCAACTAGAAGAATGGGGTATAGGTCTGTCCGTTTGCTAAATATATATAATATCTATAATCGACGTTTGATATACTTTTATTCTATATATTATGCACCCTCTTAAGTTATTGCAATCAACGTATCTACACTTTTTAAAATCATTGTTTAAACAAGTAACTTGATAAATAAAATGTTGGAAATACGTCAAAAAATAATAGTATTTACACAAATTGTGAAAAACTTTAAAACTTTGATAGAATAAGTTGTAGTTTAGTTGCAATATGCAATAAATTTACCTTCATATGTATTGCCAGCACCATCATTAATGTTGTCAGAAAGCAAGTCATGTTCCTCTGCATTGTGTTGCATAAACACATCCTGAAATAACAAAAAAAAACTATTCTCATTATTCTTCAATAATAATTTCGAAAATTGAGTCGGTTATTTCACAACATCCATTAAATCAAATTAAAAACAAATTGTCATATGCATATGGTAGTGAAAGTTGGGTCTGGCAGAAGAAGCATGAGAGTAGAATAAATGCTGTAGAAATGCGTTCCTTAAGGAGTATGCTAGGGCTGAATCTGAATGACAGGGTGAGAAATAGTGTAATAAGAGAAAAGTGTGGTTTGCAAGATGACGTTGTGACAAGGATTAAGAAAGGAATGCTTCGGTGGTTTGGTCACGTAGAAAGAATGAACGAGGAAAGAGTGACAAAGCAAATTTATGTTGCAGAAGTGAACGGCAGGGTCGGGAAGGGACGCCCTAGACGAAGGTTTATCGACCAGATCGGCGATACATTGAAAATGGGCCAGATTAGGAGTACCCTTAACCGACGAGCGTGTATGCGTAGATATATGGATGTGAAAGAGGCGAGAGAGGTGTGTCAGGATCGCGCCAAATGGAAGTCCGTAGTCTCTGCCTACCCCTCTGGGTGACAGGCGTGAGTGTTTATGTTTTGTCATATGCAATTAATAAATACTAAAAGTTATATCTCAATATTTCATGGATTTACTAAAAGCAGCCATTCCGCCCCATGCCACCACCAGTGTGCTTAGATAAGTGTACTCGTTGCTCTATACTGTCTGTACTGTAATACCTCTTTTGGCACAGTCTACAGAATTGTCTTTAGATATAAGTGATGCTAGAATGCTGCTGGCAGGATATCGACAATCTGCGTAACCAGATTAGCTACAAACGGTTTTCATCACGATGAGTATTTGTACGAGCTACGCATGGATATTAAATCCAACATATTGCCATATATTCACTGGTTTATTAATTGATCATTAATAAAGCAGTATAAATGTCATAACATTTATTGTCCATATCAATAACCATTAATTAGTATAGTGCGTTTGGTCCTTTGATGTAAGATGTTTCCCTCTATGTAAGTTCGAACTGTTTTCTGGTCACATCTACTTTTAACTACCGAAACCAGTCAAAATATAGCGTCTCCCACACACAAGCGGTTTGCGGTGGCGGCTAACCGCGAGCCGCGGCTCCAGCCGCTGCAACAACACACCACCGTGGTCGCAACGGCGGCCTGAAGCGCCATTCGCTGTGGTGTCTGTGCTACGATCGGACGACAGTAAACATGACAAACCGTGACGGAGTTTCAGCAATATTATCATATATTTTATTTTTAATCCTAATGCTTTTGTGATTACAATGCGAATTATCATAAAGTACTGGATAATTTTGCACTGTTTCTATTAAAATCTCTGAATTTAGCACCATGTTTTACGCGGTACACGCGGCCTGTTGTAAAAATTTGGTGAGTGACCGCGCTGCGGCCACCGACTGGCCGCGTACTCGCTAACACACACGCGCTGGCAGAGCGGGCGGCGCCTGCGGCCGCGCCCAGCCGCTCGCAGCCGCGCCATGGCCGCACGGGTTTGCAGACTCACATTGCAAGCGAATACAACTGGCCGCCACCGCAAGCCGCTTCTGTGTGGGAGACGCTTAAAGCGTCTCCCACACAGAAGCGGCTTGCGATGGCGGCTAACCGCGGGCCGCGGCTGCAGCCGCTGTAACAACACACCACCGCGGCCCAAGTGGCGGCCTGAAGCGCCATTCGCTGTGGTGTCTGTGCTACGATCGGACGTACGAACATGACAAACCGTGACGAAGTCTTTATTATATTCAGCAATATTATCATATATTTTGTTTTAATACTAATGCTTTTGTGATCACGATGCGAATTATCATAAAGTACTAGATAATTTTGCACTGTTTCTATTAAAATCTCTGAATTTAGCACCAATTTTCACGCGGTACACGCGGCCTGTTGTAAAAAATTACAACTGACCGCGCTGCAGCCACCGACTGACCGCGTACTCGCTAACACACACGCATTGGCAAATGGGGCGGAGCATGCGGCCGCGGCCAGCCGCTTGCAGGCCGCGCCATGGCCGCATGGGTTTGGAGACTCACTTACATTGCAAGCGAATACAACAGGCCGCCACCGCGGCCGCCACCGCAAGCCGCTTCTGTGTGGGAGACGCTTAAGTCTGGGATTAAGCTTCGGTTAAATTAGTTTCGTCCAAAGCCGGAAGTAGAAAGCATTTTGTTTCTTACTGCGCTATGAAACAGTCAACATAACGAAGCATTGAATGTCAGTTTTCTTGCCATGCTTTAGGATCTAAAAATGACCCCTAATCCTAAAAACACCAGATGAACCCAGGCATATTTTAAATTTTCTAAACGGTTTCCATATATAAAATAACATTTGCCGTACCTTTGTTGGCGGATGCTTGTAATGGAGGCTGATCTTGCTTAGTTCATGGTCCAAGTGAGCCAGACGCGACGCATGTCCCGCCTCAGCGGACGGACCGACCAAATCTGCGCTCTCTCTACCTTCACTGCCAAGCACTTCGTTGCCGTCGCCCTGTCACATTTCATGAACGTTAAATTTTCTATTGTTCTTTAACTTTCAACGATCCAATTAAAGCAATCTGCAACGTACAAACAGTCGGAAATCCGCAACGAAGGTAAAGTGATTTCACAACTAGGCAGAATAACGATCTAACGAGGTATTACGAGGCAGGCAGGAAGTCAATGTCTGCAGGTAGCTCAAGACCATGCTTCGTGGCAGCTTTAGAAGAAATCTAAGTAGATAAAATAAAAAAACAAAACCTCAAGACTTCAAGATACTGTAAGTTCATACTGTGTGGATCGAACTAAAAATTAATAAATTTAATATGAAGGTTGCAATTGTTAATTACTATAACATTTTAGACATCTAACACCTGTCCCCCATGTGCTGTAAAGTACTCGAAACATCACGATGATAAAATAAGTTAGTAAACGCGATCAAATCCGTAAAATATAGTTATATTTATTTAAATATGTATTGCTCGCATAAACATAAGAATTCGGGTCAAATTAGGTATAAGTAGACTTGGGATAGGCTGCATTGATGATGATGATAGTATACTCGCATTCTTTATTCATATTCCAAGACCAACTATACAATATTAAGCTGTACAGGTGAACTTTTCAGGATGTTATAGATCTGAATGTAATATACCTAGTCAGGTCATAAATTCTGTCACATGTTTAATATAAAATAATTGAAACAAGTTTATTCATTATGTAACCATTTATATACCAAAATGAACTTAACAAAACATAGATTCTTATGACACTAAAGTTTATTCAAAATGACCTCCGTGATTTTGAATACAGGCCTTCAATCTGCGCGGCCAGTCGTCTATCGCAGCACGAACGAGGTCCATGTCAATATCGGCGGCTGCCTTAATCAAGGATGTCTTGAGTGACTCCAAATTGGGAGGAGGCTTTGAGCACGCCTTTTCCTCCAAGTGTTGCCATATCTTGTAATCTAACGGATTCAAATCTGGACTGGAGGGTGGCCGGCGCCGAATTTTGTTGGAATACCCAGTGCCTGTTATTGAACATGGTATGAGAAACAGGTTCCACAAGGTTCGTCAGGACTGTATTTTGATACACAAATGCATTCGTTTTTACACCTTTCTCACAAAAATGTACCTCTGTTAAGCCCCAATAAGAAACTCCCAACCATACCATGAGCGAGGATGGAAAATGACCTCGTTGGACACGCGGAATACGGTTGCTCGCTTCTTCACTACTGTGTGCGTACACCTTATCATTTTGTTTGTTGTAGCTCTCTTCTACGGTAAAAATTTTTTCATCCGAAAAAAGAATTTCCCGATATTTTTTTCCCGCGTACCGCTTCACAAAGCGCGGCATCTCTTTAGTCTCAGGTCCATTAGACGAGCATTCAAACGATGTCCTGTTTTTCTTCGATATGCCCGAAGCCCTAAGTCTTCATTTTCACCGTAGTTCTGCTTAACCCCATCTGAAGGGCCAACAGTTTCTGCTTACGTTTCGGATTTCTTTGAATTCACGCCTTCACAGCTTTTATCACTGCTGGAGTCCTAACAGACCGAGGGCGACCACTTCTTGACCTGTCATCTACACTAGTCTTCATTGTATCGTTTCATGGTACGATAAACGAATCTTTTGGTTATATTCAAATTTTTCAGTATGTCAAAAATTTGAATTGGCGCGTAACCGCAACGATGCAACGCAATAACTGCATCACGGTCTTCTTTAAGCGTCCACTCCATATTCAAAAATGAGTAAAATTCTAAAAAGTATACAGTTTTATTTTCATGAACAATTCGAAATTCGAATTCAAATAAACTTTTTTGTGGCCATCATTCTAAAAGAAAAGTTTTTACTGTGTGACAATACTTATGACCTGACTAGGTATATATATATATATAGTAATGGTAAACTAATGCTGTAGAATTTGTACGTAAATTGTACTGTATTTAGTGTATAGAAATCAAATAAATATTTATTTCTTAACTAAACAATATTTTGTGAAAATGTCAGTTATTAAATGTTATCACCTGTCAATAATTGTTTATAAACTCAGTAAGTTATTGATGTATGAAGTGGTCACGTCTTATTTGTAAAGTAAGAGATACGATAATTTAATTAAGAGAAGTGTAGGACGGCCACATATTAAATATGGTAACAACCTGGTAAGACATGCAGCAAATTGATGAATGCAAGTGGCTCAGAACCGTGAATTGTGGCATTCCTTGGGCTGCAATGTTGAGGAGGATGATGGTTATCGCTGATACAGACAAATATGCGCACCTTATGTGGTTGTATTGCGTGGATTTCACGTTGCGTCGGCGAGAGCATAGGACTGTATTCTATTGGAGACTGTGGTGATACTGGACCCTGAAAGTCGCATTTTATTCATTAAAACTTTTCTATATAATCAAAGTACATAGAGCTGTTTATAGCACTAATATTAGTGTAGTAGCGGCATAAGATAATCAATTTGGGTGTGATTTCACTTTTTCGCGGTCGAGAGTAGACATTAGAAAATGGTTTACAGATCAATCACATATGGATGACGGTATAACAATCTCGGTATATTCATGAATCATTTATTCATTACAGCCTATCTCTCATAAGTCCATTGCAGAACATAGTCTTCCCACATTAATTGCACGACAGACAATTGGAAACCTCAGTATTTTATTATCTTCAGTTGTTATTAGGAAGATGCAGTTGCCCATTTTCTGTACTCAGACTAAGAGGCGAAAGAGAGAACTGTTGCTTTTTTCGAAACTCACGGCAAAACGTAGGGTAGCAGATTCTTTTAAGCCGCCACAGCACGGTTACAGCCTAAGAACATCAGTCATTGCGTTTGATGTTGTCGGAAAAGTCGACATAAACAATAAATTGCTAGGGCAGAACGGGAAGTAATAAAAACAAAAACGAAACAACGACCCACAGTTATATACCGCACATGAATCTGTACAAAACTATAAAAAAATATAACCTCATCAGCCTGTAAATAAGTCCACTGTTGGACATGGACCTCTTTACTAAGCCTGAAGAATTTGGTGTTACCACGATGTTCGGTAGATGGATTAGCAAACACAAGTATCTTACGCATATTACAATTTATAGTACGAAAAACACATCAAAATATTATAAGAAACCGAGTGTACTACTTACACTGTTAGATATAGCAGACAGTTTCTGCTGTAGCGACAGCATATATTCGTAGGATTGAGTTTTCGGCGTGCTGGGCTGAGTCGAGCCCGTCGAGTTCATATTCGTTAAACCTGTAAACAAGAAATGTGAATCTATACAAATTTTGTGCGGGGGAATGGCATCCAAAGAATGAATAAACCTGAAGAATAGAACACCAGGCCTCCAACCCATGTATTATTACAATAGACACATACACAAACACACGCACGCACGCACACACGCACACACGCACGCACGCACGCACAAATACAAATTGCGACCTAATATTTTTTTTGCTGATAGTTTATAAAAAAGTTGCCGCATCGGCTCGGCCGCCCGACCTCGCGCTTGTTAACAGCTGCGAATCTCGTACCACTAATCTTTGTGACAAAGACGATACGGCCAGGTTGTATAACAAAAATATCATATTTTGGACACTACATTGACGCAGTACGCATGAAATATTCAACTGTATTTTTCATCGAATGGATTCTAAAAATACCTTATGTTAATCGAAATAAAACAAATTATAGGATAATTAAATGTGCGGGAGAAAACTAATATTCGAGTTTTTAGTTTTTTTTTTGAAGTGATAATCATATAATATTTTGCGATATAATATGTAAGACATGTTATTGAATTAGGTTCTTTATCAACTACATTTTTATTTAGACCCTTTATTCGATAATTGTGTAAGCAAAAATATTTCCAACAAAGTATCAAAAAGTATAGTAGAAATGTGCACGCGGTTGACCTTTTTAGGAAAGAACTTACAGTATATAATAAGAAAAACAATAGTGAAATCTAGGAAAATTTTGCTTACTTCTTTTAGTAGTGTGAGTGACTTTTGACAATTTTGACAAGCAAAAGCCCCAAAAGCATAGTTTAGACATCGGTACACTACATGGCGTGCAGAAGATATTATAATTCTTATAAATCAATATCTTATATACGAAATTGATTTATTTCCTTTCCTAAAGTTCATTTAAAAAAAACAATAAAATAATATAAAACTGACGTTGATGGCAATGTAAACAATTTTATTTCTGTTGTGTGGCAACATAAATGCAAAGAAGTTGAAAGAAGAAAGTTTTACCAAACTTCGTTCGCTTGTTTGACTGTAATAAAATACATTCCGAAGTAATTCTCGATTGTCACGCAATAGGATTTGCGCGCGGAATTTCTTGCGTATTTTTGTATGGTTTTCATTGATTCAATTGGCCATATTTCTAGCATGTATTTGATTCCAACATAATAGAATATATTGTAATTTATTGTGGGTATAGTTACTAATTATTCAAAATACGCAATTTTATTTTCGATGGTATTAGAAACAGTAAGTTGGCCCGTGATTTCAAATCTCATCACAACACTAATTACCTACGTCATACATGTCGGTGTTGAGTACAAAACTACAAAGTGAGTGTTTATATTTCAATTTGTTTGAATATTTTTTGGTCAACAATAAAAAAATTATAAATCGGTAAGTCACCAAAGTAGTCAAAAAATTAATCTTGCAAACATTTGCAAAATATAGTTTTGTCTGGTTACGTAAAAAATACCTATTACGAATTTTGCAAACAGTTTCACACAGACACACATTATTACTAGTTTGTTTTATTTTGTTGTAGTTTCAAGCTCAAGGTAGCGTCTTATCGTTTGCTATGGTCCTGGTGCGTTCAGAATCTATATTATCGTTGTATATTTTTTTCTTTTTACTATAAAATCAAAGGTTGAAATAATATTTCATTAGGTAATAACCACCAGCTCAATTCAATAAGCTGCTCTTTAGATTTTTGTTTTACTAAAAGCTTTTGTAGTTATGAGTGCTTTGAAATTAGAAAATATTTTTTCACCTTCTTGGTTATTATCACATACTAAATCGTGTTTTATATTTAGTTTTATCTCTTGTTTATGAAGTTTCTTACGTGTTATGTAATGTCAAATTTTTGTAATAATTGGTTATGTTGCAAATCATCTGTGTATCAGGCGTGTTACTTCAAACACTTGTTTCGATCAATAATTTCAATAGTGTAAGGTAATAAAATAAAACTGCGTTTTATTGTTCTTAGTGTTGACATAATTTATTTTCCAAAATTATTATTGAATTAAATAGTTTACGCCTCAAATATAATTTTTATTTTTATAACATAGTCGTTTGAAAGGGACGAAGAGAGAACGAAGTGTGAAATATGGGTAAATCAGGAATGTCTAGAACAGGTAAATGAAATTGTATACTTGGGGAGTGCTTTTAGCCGGGATGGAAGATGTGATTTAGATGTGGACAGGCGTGTCGCTGCCGGGAACAAAGTCAATGGTGCCCTGACTGCGTTAGTCAAAAGGCAAGGCGTAGCGAAGAGTGCACGCCTTGCAATACATAACGCAGTGTTGGTGCCGACTTTGTTATATGGCAGCGAAACCTGGGTATGCCAGAAGAAGCATAAAAGTAAGTTGAATGCAGTGGAGATGCGATCTCTCCGTAAAATGTGCGGCGTTACTATGGCCGACCGAAAGCGAAACGAAGAGATTCGCAATATGGCAGGTTTGAAAGATGACCTTATCACAAAAATTGATAAGGGCGTGCTTCGGTGGTTTGGGCACGTTGAGCGAATGAGTGAAGACCGAATGGTGAAGAAAATATATAGCGCGAAAGTTAATATTAAAAGGTGTCGAGGTAGACCGAGACTAACTTTCGAAGACCATGTGAGCAAATTGCTCGAAGAGGGTAGGGTCAAGAGTACTCGGATACCTAGACGTGCATGTATGAAGAAGATAATGAATCTGAAAGAAGCGAAAGAGATATGTAAGGATCGTGACACTTGGCGATCTGTTCTCTCTGGCTACCCCGTCAGGGATTGTGCGTGAAGATAAACAAACAAACATAACATAATCGTAAAATGCTGGTATTCAGCTGAATCCGGTTTGACTGGGAGCCGACCCCAATATAGTTGGAAAAAAGCTAGGTAGATGATGACTCGTACATAATATATATCGTAGCACGTGGCATTCTGTAAATCTGCCTACCCAAACAGAAAAACGAAAAACTTTTTTTTTTCATTCACGCCATCTATTCAATCTTCGTAAACGTAGGGACTAGGAATTCACCCACGTCTGTGTGTGCATACAACACACCATATTTAATGGCAGATGTTATTTTAGGGCTTTGTGTCGAACTGTGTGGATTTTGAGGCAATGATATGACCTAGTACAATAAAGTATAATGTCCGAGTACCGCGGTAGCTACTTCTACGTCTTAATGTATACCAAATACACAAAACCCAAATAAACTCAAAAATAATGACTTCAGCGCCATCTCGCGGGAAAATGCCCGAGAGCAGACCGTATGTTTCACCTTAAGGTCTAAGTCCACAGTTGAGTTGCTAAAACTATAATATAGTTGCAGCGTGGAGTTACCGTTATTGCCTATTGAAGTCCACTGCAGAACATAGGCCTTCCCCATAGATTGCTTCATAGGGGGGATAGATAGATAGATAGATAGGTAGTTTTTTATTTTTAGTCGTTATTAAGAAGACGCTGCTACTCATCGTTTGGTTTGTTGCCCTCTGTCGCTGCTTGCAATAGCCACGGGATAATGTGGGATAGTGGATATTCTTACACCGCCACTACACGGTGTACACCGTAAGCCACGCTGCGTTTACCACGTAATAATAGTGTGCGTTGTCGTACGTGTGGTGACGTCGAGCGGGCGGCGCAGCGCGTGGTGCGGCGCCACCAGGCCCAGCGCCGCGCCGCCCATGAGATTCTGCCCGCCCACTGCTAGGCTCTGCGGCGCCACACCTGGAATATCATCACGAACCTAACGTTACAAATACATCTAATCGATCACAGTCAATCGATATACTACTACTACTACTACTCTACTACTACTACTACTACTACTGCTCCCTTTTATATACTGTAATGGATAGATGGATAGAGTTTTGAATAAGTTTCATGTGCCGATTACACTCTACTTGGAAGAAGTTCAGCTGGCGATAGATATTATAACATCGCTAGAATATGATGCTAAGTCATCCCTAACGTTAGATGAACGTTAGGGATGACTTCATTCATTACATTCACAACAGTCAATCAAAAGTACCTGCTGAATAAAGGCTTCCCTTATAGATTGTGTTATCTTATTTGGCATAGTTGCAACGATTGGCAGGCGGTTTAGAAACCACAGTTTTTTATTAGCTACTTTTCCTTGTTATTGGGACGATGCTGTTCCTAATCTCCTGGTTATATTTCCCTCAGTCTCCTCTTACATCACTTACGGGACGATATAGCGTTGTCGATATTCTTACACCACTACACGGAAATCAAAATACATACCAAAACCTTCTATACTAAATGAAACATTTTTTAAGTATTCTTGCAGACATTTACTTCTAAATACCTAACTGTTTTATGCTAAGAAAAATTACAAAAATCAAAGTACCCAAATTTTGTCCAAGATTCTGCCCCATGATGTTCTGATTGAGCGCAAGACTCTGTGCGGCGAGCCCCATATTCTGGTGCTGCAGCAGAGGAGTACCTAGTCCTCCTTGCAGTGGAACTCCAAGTCCCAGCCCGAGCCCAAAGCCAGCACCCATAGCCTGCCCACTCAGTTGCGATACAGAATTTTGCAGTACTTGCTGTTGAACTGTGAAAGCAGAAAAAATTATTAATATTTTTAAGTTAAGCAAGGAAATGTAATCTTACCAAATTCTTGTGAATGTAAATATCTTTATCGGTTCACAAAGTATATCGGGATCAGGAGTTGATTAATCATCATCATCATCATCATTACAGCCTTTCATAAGTCCACTGCTGAACATAGGCCTCCCCCAAGGAATGCCACATAGCACGGTCCTAAGCCACCGGCATCCATCGACTTCCTGCATGTCTTACCAGGTCGTCACTCCATCTCGTGGGGGGTCGCCCTACACTTCGCCTACCGGTACGAGGCTGCCACTCAAGAACCGACATTCCCCATCGGTTATCCGTTGGGCTATGTCGGTTACTCTGGTTCTACTGCGGATATCCTCATTCCTAAGTTTATCACGCAGAGAAACTTCGAGCATAGCCCTCTCCATAGCTGGCTGAGCGACCTTGAGCTTCCTCATACGGTCAGCAGTGAAGCACCACGTCTCGGATCCGTAAGTCATCACTGGCAACACGCACTAGTTGTACAATTTCGTTTTAAGGTTTTGAGGTATGTCTGACGAGAAGATGTGTCGTAGCTTCCCGAACGCTGCCTAGCCGAGTTGAATCCGTCGATTGACCTCTCGGTCGAAGTTGGACTTACCTAGTCGGACTATTTGTCCCAGTTAAACATACTCGTCAACAACTTCGAGCTTAGTGCTCCCAACAACTACCGGCATAGGTGTGACATGGACATTAAACATAATCTTTGTTTTGTCCATGTTCATCTTAAGACCTATCCGTTGGGAGACACTATTGAGGTCATTGAGCATAGTGCTTAGGTCCTCCAGCGATTCTGCCATAAGGACTATATCGACGGCAAATCGAAGATGAGTGATGTACTCGCCATTGATGTTAATACAGTATCCTTTCCAGTCCAGAAGCTTGAAAACGTCTTCCAATCTCGAAAATCGTAGCCCTACTGTACAAGCACTTCAGCACTTCGATATACCGACAGTCAACTTGGCACCGCTGAAGGGACTACAGCACCGCCCAAATTTCCACGGAATCAAAGGCTTTCTCAATTCACATACGCCAGGCATAGTGGCAAATTGTACTCCTCGGACTTCTGTACAACTTGCCGAAGGGCATGTATGTGGTCTATGGTGCTAAAGCCCTTTCGGAAACCAGCTTGTTCGGGAGGCTGGAAGTCGTCAAGTCTGCGTGCGAGACAATTCGTAATGACTCTCGAAAACAGCACGTAGACGCGGCTCAGAAGGGAAATCGGTCTGTAGTTCTTCAAGAGAGCATTGTCACCTTTCTTGAAGAACAAGACCACCGCACTTCTGCTCCACGCTTCCGGTGTAATGCCACCATGGAGGACGGAATTAAAGAGCCTCTGAAGGACTTCTAGTACCGGTTTTCCACCCGCTTTTAGAAGCTCCGCTGTAATTCCATCCTCGCCTGGGGCCTTGCCGTTTTTAAGATGCCGGAGAGCCATTCTAATCTCGCTGAGACTGACGTCTGGAATATCTTCGGAATAGTGTCGGATAAGACTCGCTCTTGGATCGTTACTCACACTTGCGTGTGGCTCCAACGATGACGTGTACAGCTGTCCATAGAACCTCTCAATCTCACTCAAAATCTCAGGTGCCGCGGAAACGACGCGGTCTTCAGCTTTGACAGTTGGCTCTTTCTGGCAGACAGATCTCTGGCAAAGACTTTAGAGCCTTGGTTCTGCACGATCGCTTCTTCAATACAAGCTGTATTGAACTTGCGTAAGTCCCGCCGCATGCATTTGGAGATCTGTCTGTTCAGTTGCCTGTATGCTGTCAAATCTGTTGAAGAATGTAGCTTCATCTCCCGTCTAACAGCCATGAGATTAAGAGTGTGATCGGAGAGTTTTTGTGTTCTTCTGCGGCGGGTCTTGCAGAACTTAGCTCCGACCGCATGGACAGTTTCCACGAGCTTGTCATTCATATCGTCCACTTCATTGCAGTCTTCTAGGCACTGAAAACGGTTTTGTAACTCGAGCTGAAAGGTTTCAGGACTTTGGAACAGAGCACGAGGGGGACGGAGCGTTGACTTCATTAGACGAGACCTCTCCAACTTAACTTAAAAGGTTCAGTGTGCCTCTAACCATTCGGTGATCGGTACCAGTTTTCACCCTCGCGATCACGGAGACATCACTGAACAGTTGTCGTCTGGTCGTCATAATGACGTCAATCTCATTTTCTGTCGAACCGTCGGGGCTCGACCAGGTCCACTTACTGTGGGGCCGCTTCTGGAAGAAAGAGTTCATCATAATCCCTCTTTCTCCATGAAGTCGGCCAGCTGCTGGCCCCTTGGGTTCCGTTGCCCTATTCCAAATTTCCCTAATTTCAGCTCACCATTCTCTCTTGTGCCTAGTTTTGCATTGAAGTCTCCCATTAACACCGGATATTGGGTTTTGGAGGAATGCATGGCTCTAGAGGTATCCTCATACATTTCCTCCACCTCCTCATCGGGGTGTGCCGAGGTTGGTGCGTAAACCTGTATGACCTTCAGTGAATACCGTTTGGTGATTCTGAGTATAAGGTCCCCTCGTCGACTCACTCCCGATCTTTACAACGTTGTTAACGAGAGACTTGTGGACAATAATTCCAACACCTCCTTGGGACAGATGGTCGCCCTCCCGGTGATAGAGCAAGTTGCCGGATTCGAGGATTACCGTGTCCTCCCCCTCTCTTCGGACTTCGGATAATCCTATAACATGCCAGCGTAACTTGTCTATCTCTTCTTCCAGCTCCACGATCTTCTCGTCAGTCCTCAGGGTGCGTGCGTTGTACGTTGCCAGGTCGAGTCGTCTAAGGTGGCAACCGAACCTCCACCGGAGATTCTGCCCCTGCCCCACCGTTACCATGGTCGCCACCGTAGCCAGGAATAGCGGGGCCGCCGGGGACTGGGGGCCGTCTCCTTGTTACTCTCTTCATAGGGGGGTATTTGCCATAGTTGCCACGCTTGGCGAGCAGATTAGCAACCGCAGTTTTTTTATTGTAATTTTGACTATTATCAGGAAGATGCTGCTGCCCATCTCCTGCCTGTTTCCCTTTGTCGCCTTTTACGACACCCACGGGAAGATATGGGGTAGTGGATATTCTTGACCGCCACTACACGGCATATGATTAATAAGATGAGTAATTGATATTATTCTAATAAAATAATAGATTTTTTTACTCTCTAATAATCAATACGAGTAAAAATGTAGCTTCTTTTGGGGGAGACCTATGTTCAGCAGTGGACTTGTGTAAACATCGGTATTGAGTAAAAAATCTATAGTTGGTATCTAATGTAGGAAGGTGTTATATGAATAGAGACGTGTTGTTGGTACTAGAACTTTAATTATACTGCTTAAGCTTTATTAATGCATCGTCGCAGCGCACCGCCTGGCAGGGTCGCCATGTGATATAGGAAATATATCAATGAAAAGAGGCGTGTTGATGCTTCTATAACTTTAATTAGACTGATCCTTATTCTAACCTAACACTAATATATGCTGTCGTGGGGACTACACTACAGGTAAAAAGGGTAGAATGATAAAAACCATGATGTATGATAAACATCGAAGGTGCGAGACGTGTGGTTTGCACTGCGATCCTCCTGCCAATCTATCTGCCAAGCATGAAGATTAAGGCCAATCTTTCTTACAACGGGAGAGGACGTTTACGGAGCGATGAAGAAATATAGTTAGTAACGTATTAGTTTATAATTTTTCTTAGCAAAATCCATCAGCAACGGTTCCATATTACAAATCTTAAATAGTCCAAATAGTCTACTAATAATCATGTATATGAATTTTTGAAAGTAATTTCGTAATAGTTTTTGATATTTCAGTTAGTAGCGTGTTACCTATGAAGTCGTTTGCTGTGGCCAACATGGGCTGGTAGTACCTCTGCGGCTGGTAGTGCGGGGGCAATCTCGCTGACGTCACACCGCCCACTGAGCACAAATGTTAGTCACTGACATAAGCACGCGACATTCAAAGCTCTATTATGCACTACATAAACAATATAGTAAAGTTATAGAAATAGTATAAAACTTATCTGTGCTAAAATATTTCACTAATCTACATACATTTAAATGTTATATGCATTTGGCAGTAAAATCTTATACAATATATATAATACAAGGAATAAACATATTCGGTCTTATTACAAAAAGTCGTTAATAATTAGTTACCGGTTTAAACTAGAATCAGTTTCAATACCCGTGTAAATTATGCGAACTAAAATGTAAACTATTTCTTTTAGTTAACATATTTCCTTGAGATTCGTCGGGACGTCGTTATCGACAGATTTTAGTTTAGGTCTGAAACTAAATAAAACTACTACTTTTTGATAATGTCATAGTATGTGGTAGATTATTTTTTTTTTTGTCAACTTTTATAGGCAAGTAGTAGAGTTCAATCAGAGATCTCGCCGACTACGCTTATGTCTATTCTATCTCAATTTTAAACGCTAATTTAGCACACGCAAGGTGGTAAAGTAATCATCGTGATGAAAATAATTTAAGAATATTGCGAGGGCATATGAAGTCAATTAGCAGCAGAGTGGCAGATTTTTTGCCTGTAGCCGGTGCCAAACAGTAGTTCTGTAAGCTGTGGTGGCTCTTACCTTTATGTCAAGGGTTAGATCATATTAGTAATATACACGATTATTTTGCAATAACCGGCCAAATTTGCAGAGGAGGGTCGGAATAAGTAATATAGGCAAATGGTAAAGAAAAATTAATTTAAAAAATCTCAAACATTCTGTCCTTTTTATTTTTTAAATTCTAAATGCGTAGAAATGCATTATTTTAACTGACTTTAATGCGCACGCACACATTAGTAAGCGTCGATCGGTAGGCAAAAACGTTGTTGCCCATAACTCACATTCAATTTGGGATGATTTCGAATAAATATAGAAACCTGATTTACACGTATTTTCAAAAACTGCATTATCGGTATATCATTATTTATATATTTGAACTTATTTTTAAAATTTGGCTACTCTTTGAAAAATAACCCTGTAATAGCATAAAATATATTATAAAAGATTAATATATTATAAAAGCTAGGAACTAAATTTATGTTAAATATACGAATAGAGTCACATTTCACCCTAATCTAGATGAGAAATAACTAAAGCAACATAAAATACTTTATTTTTAGAAAAATTAAACACAATAGTTAAGAGTATTGAAGCTGAAGGCTCACCACAAATAAGAAATGTAAAATAATATTATATCTCAACATGTATAGTTTGCAACTCAAGACATTTACTTAAACAAGAACTACACTTGTAACAAAAGGTAAAGTAATATAATATATCTTTATTTCATTGGCTTCTCAATGTCTTTCGGTTTATATGTACAGGGTTAATAGAAAGTAGAGTTAGTTTTTCTACACTCAAAACAATTGGCTTCCTAAAACAGAATTGTTTCTATATTTTATCCTCCGTACAAAAGGAGAAGCCTATGTCCAAGTGGATTTTTAAGGGCGGATGAAGACGAAGAAGAAAACAAGAAGGTACAATAATTATACATATTATATTACATAAAGCAGTAATAGTAATAATCATTTTGCTAAATACCTGGCTGAGCGTTGGTGAGTAGATTGCTGTGCAGAGCGAGGTCAGGTTGAGGGTATTGTTGCTGGTTAAGGAGGCCCAGAAGGTTGGGACCAGTTAGATTCTGTTGCTGACTGAAATATAACATAATTAACATTATCACCAGCCAGCTAGAGCCCAATGCTGTACAAAGTCTTCCAACTTATAACAAACAACAGCTGGACAGTTTAAGCCTGTGTCAAAAGGATAATTCAGAAACGACACAGTTGTACGTGATTCAGCAATGGCAGCAGTCGTATTTTAAAATAGCTGCTCAATGCTCCGGTTTGGCTATTTTTTTGACATGCAGTTTTAAAGAACATTGAACCTATCATAGTATATTATAAGGTGGATGCTCCGATAGCCCGCCCATACATTTTTGTCTGGACATATACGCTAAACACAGACACTATTTGTTTAAAACTAATCATTTTATCACTTTTCTACTCTGAAATGTGCACGCGGTTGATACTTTTTAGGAAGGAACTTACAGTATATAATAAGAAAAACAATGAAATCTACGAAAATTTTGACACTTCTTTAGTAGTGTGAGTGACTTTTGACAACTTTGACAAGCAAAAGCGCAAAAACATAGTTTAAACATTGGCACGCTAGATGGCGTGCAGACGATATTGTTGTGCAACAAATACCATTATTCGTAGGCAGATATTGTGCAACAATGCCGTACTTCCTAACCTTGAACTAGATGCATTACGTTGAAAGAAGAAAAGCGTTGACAAACTTCGTTCGCTTGTTTGACTGTAATTAAATAAAATACATTCTGAAGTAATTTTCGATTGTCACGCAAAAGGATTTGCGAACGGAATTTCTTGCGTGTTATGTATTTTTGTATGATTTTCATTGATTCAATTTGCAATATTTCTAATATGTATTTGATTGCAATATAATAGAATATATTATAATTTATTATAGGTATAGTAATTAATTATTCAAAATACACAATTTTATATTCGGTGGTATTAGAAACAGCAAGTTGGCTCGATTTCAAATCTCGTTACAATACCAATTAACTACGCTTCGGCGTTGAGTACAAAACTACTAAGTCAGTGTTTCATATTTTAATTTGTTTGAATTTTTTTTGGTCAACAATAAATAAAATTATAAATCGGTAAGTCACCAAAGTAGTCACAAAATTAATTTTGCAAACATTTCCAAAATATAGTTTTGCCGGGTTACGTAAAAAATACCTATTATGCATTTTGCAAACACTTTCAGACAGACACACAATATTATCAGTTTGTTTTATTTTGTTGTTGTATCAAGCTCAAGGTCGCGTCGTTTCGTTTACGGTCCTGGATTTTTTTAGTTGACTGATTGATAACAGATGAAAATAATGTATTTATTATTAATTTTGTAAACTTGGTTATAGCGTCAATCATGCATTCTTATGCACATACCCTTTTTGTAAAGGTGTGTTAAATAACACAATATTTTTAGTTCTAGTGTCACTCAAGAGCGTTGGTGAAGACGTATGACGATAAATAAAGGCAGTGTATCAATAGGAAGGCAGACATGATGTCTAACATACACATATTATCAAGACTTCAGCTGGACACGTTAATAACGTAAAGGGGTTTCTGACGGTATTAATAAAAACATTGAAAGTAATTTTTTATGCGCACGTTTAGTTTATATGCCTCGAGAAGCACGGCAAGCCGTTGGTCTTGCTCCTGATCTCTCTCCGGGCGTGTCGGATAACCGTCCCATCGGACTATGAGAGTGGGGGAATAGAGAGTGCACCTATACTTGCGCATACACTCGGGTACTATAATCTTGTCCTGCGCAAATGGCGTCACGGCGGCTAGTCTTTAATGACTCGGGCCAAACGCCGTGACCGAAATTCGAGCTGGAGGACATAAGATAATCAATCATCAAGGTATATATAAGGTTGTTTAAAGTATCAAAAATATAACAAAATATATATTGACTCACTTCATAATATTTTGCTTCAACAGCATCCTCTGTATGTTTTCAGCGTTGGGGAGCGTGTCACTTAGTCCAGGCGTGGGCGTAAGTGCAGGCTGCGCGAAAGGGAGCCTTGTTATCCCCATGGGATCACCCAACGTTGAACCTACTGCACCTAATCCCATGCTTAGACCCAGTTCGCCGCTCACTCCCAATGGAGTTCCCACTTGACTCAACCCTAACAACGGAGTATCTGTTGCTATTTGTAACGGCGTACTTAAATTCGTCATATTGGCTTGTAGGGCTCCACTTAGCAAATTAGGGTTGACTATATTGTTTTGGAACGGTAAAACTTGCGGTATTGTCGACTGTATATTGGTAGTAATAGGGGCGGTTGACGGTGGCACAGTGCTCTGTGGCATTGGCACACTAATAGGAATCTCTGGTTTTGTGTCTATGGTCCGATGCTCGGGCATAGTTGGAGGTGCGTGCGTTATCTGTGAAGCTACTGAATACTGTTGGGTAGGAACATAATTTTCTTGAGGAATGACTTGAGAGACAGGTTGTACTGGTGGTGGCTGAGGTTCTTGCTCCGGAAGACCGTTGACTTGGGCGTCGAGTCTTCGTGGTTCTTTGGCGACTTCGGAATAGAGTTTAGGCTCTACCGGCTTCTCTGGCTCATCGGCCGTCTTCTCTTCGGATACTTCCTCACCGCGGTCTACGACGGGACTGACTAGAAATCTCGATATTTTACGAGTGGGTTTTTGTGTTTTTTTGTCGCCATTCTGTGACTCTGAGCTCCCTGAGCGATCTGGTGCTATAGATCCCCCATCGGATTGATTAGAACCTGGGAATGGTAAATATATATAAAATAAAAATGTGGAAGTGATAATGTTTTATATTATATTAAAATTTCGAAAGAGATGATTAACTGATATGGAATAAATTTATTCCATGAAAGTTAAATAAAATTATTGGGGAAATACCTATGGAAGATGCAGTGCTGATCTTCCTTGAGGATATTTCGACAGGAACAGGCACATGCGCCGGCACGGTGGGCGCCAGGGGCGGCGCGGGGGCGGGAGCAGGGGCGGGCGGCGCAGGCTCGTCGTCCGCGAGCTCGGCCAGCGCGATGCTGTCCTGACTGGCGGTGGGCGTCGTGCACTCCGAGTTGTCCTGATTGGAGTCCGTCAGGTTTTCTTCACGCTCCGTCGTTTCTGAGTCATAGTCAGTCTGTAAAAATATAAAAATAAATGTTATCTACCATGTAAAATACGAAAATATATACATTATTCAGGCCCCAGCACGGGCATCACGCCCAGCTCGTTGAGCAGCTGCTGCACGATGTCGCGGATCAGCTCCGTGAACGTATCTGTGTACGTGCAGGTTACTGTGAGCGTGTGGACGTACCCGGTCGATGTTGAGGCGCAGCGCAGCGTGGTGCGCGGGCCCCAGCACGGGCAGCACGCCCGGCTCGTTGAGCAGCTGCTGCACGATGTCGCGGATCAGCTCCGTGAACGTATCTGTGTACGTGCAGGTTACTGTGAGCGTGTGGACGTACCCGGTCGATGTTGAGGCGCAGCGCAGCGTGGTGCGCGGGCCCCAGCACGGGCAGCACGCCCGGCTCGTTGAGCAGCTGCTGCACGATGTCGCGGATCAGCTCCGTGAACGTATCTGTGTACGTGCAGGTTACTGTGAGCGTGTGGACGTACCCGGTCGATGTTGAGGCGCAGCGCGGCGTGGTGCGCGGGCCCCAGCACGGGCAGCACGCCCGGCTCGTTGAGCAGCTGCTGCACGATGTCGCGGATCAGCTCCGTGAACGTATCTGTGTACGTGCAGGTTACTGTGAGCGTGTGGACGTACCCGGTCGATGTTGAGGCGCAGCGCGGCGTGGTGCGCGGGCCCCAGCACGGGCAGCACGCCCGGCTCGTTGAGCAGCTGCTGCACGATGTCGCGGATCAGCTCCGTGAACGTATCTGTGTACGTGCAGGTTACTGTGAGCGTGTGGACGTACCCGGTCGATGTTGAGGCGCAGCGCGGCGTGGTGCGCGGGCCCCAGCACGGGCAGCACGCCCGGCTCGTTGAGCAGCTGCTGCACGATGTCGCGGATCAGCTCCGTGAACGTATCTGTGTACGTGCAGGTTACTGTGAGCGTGTGGACGTACCCGGTCGATGTTGAGGCGCAGCGCGGCGTGGTGCGCGGGCCCCAGCACGGGCAGCACGCCCGGCTCGTTGAGCAGCTGCTGCACGATGTCGCGGATCAGCTCCGTGAACGCGCCGCTCTGCACCTCCGGCAGGAGGTTGTTCGACACCTGCCCGACACAAAACACACACTATTATCATCAGTGGAATTAGGTCTTCACCTTAGCTGCAGAATTTTACGTTGTTGAAATTAATTAGAAAGGAATGATAATTAATAGAATCAGGCGTTACTTTGCGGAAGTCCATTATATTAAATTTGACAAAAAATTACTTTGCGTACATCCGCTAGATAAAATAAAACACTAGGTGTTGTGAGTAGTGGTGCTGGGATTAGTGGTGACGGGTATAGTATACGCAACTGAGGGAGGGCGGGAGGTGCTCTTCAAACTAGGTAAGACACATCATTTTATTTTATCGTGAGGATGTACGCAAAGTAATTTTTTGTCAAATTTAATAGAAAGGAATGTTTATTCCAAAGTCGATTGGAATTCATACTATCAGAATATACACAGGCAAGGCAGTATGTCAGACAAGTTCGGAAAAGAAAAGGGCAACACATTGGTAGTTTATATATATTTTCTCCGCACCGCGTATAACTCAAATACTATTAGAGTTACACACTCATTATTTTGTACGCCTGATAACTACATAATCAATGAAAATAGAATGCTTTGAAATATACCTTGGGAGAGGCCTATATTCAGCAATGGTCTTATGAATAGCTATAATAATGATGATGATGTAGATTGATATTTCAATTGGCCTATAAGTTCTTGAGTTATAAAGGTGTCATTTTCATCATTCACTGTTTCACTTATCAATGACCTGAGCTACTTCCAGGTGTTATGCGTTATACAAAGTAGAAAATTTAACAAAATAAAACCTACAAATAATCTACATTTGGTGTTAACGGGTTTTGTCAAAGTTATTAATACAGCATTATGCTAGAAACTAACCGCACATTGGAAACTAACTTTATCATCATTTAATTATTACAGTATAAATTAAAAATAGAAAACATTGAAGCGTAAACGCAAGAAGAAACGTTGAAGCTCATGTATTTATTTAGATTAATAACAGGTAATTTTTTCTAAAATAATGATCTCCCAAAAACACAATAAATGTTAAAAGGGAGCCGAGTTCGGTACAAACGGGTTGTTAGCTTCGTCGATAAAAAAGTTAAAAACTGAATGGATGCTAAGCTCTATAGAAGCTCGAATAACGTTATAGAGGGTCTTTCAATTGGCGCGGGCAGATTTTGGCGGCCTGTGGCGGCCTTTTTGTTTTGGTTACATCTATCAAACCTTTTGTTTATTATTCAGTTACTTATGCCAAATCACCAAGGCAAGTTACACGATTGAACAGCACGTTCAAATGATAAAACTTTATTATCAAATTACTGTTCGTTAGTGCAAAAGTTGCGCGCATTGCGCCCATTTAACGGTAGACGTGGTGGCTCCTCATAGTAGACTCTTCAACGTTTGCTGGCCAAATTTGGTTACATATGTTTAAGAATCGCAAGATCGGCCGTGCATCGGCCACGAACATCTTCGCGGTTCGTGAAAGTGTACAGCAGAACCGAATCCAGTCGATGCCTCGCCGTACACAAGAACTCGGCCTTTCGCAGACTTCAACTTGACGAATTTTGTGACGGGATTTAGGCCTACACCCGTACTAGATCCAACTAACCCAGGAGCTCAAAGTTCATGACCATAGATAACGCCGTATGTTCGCTGACTGGGCTTCGAATCGTTTGGAAGATGACCCGAATTTTGGCCGAAAAATCATCTTCAGCGACGAGGCGCATTTTTGGATGAACGGCTGTGTTAATAAGAAGAATTGCCATATATTGGACGACACTAACCCACGCGAGGTTCACCAGGTGATAATGAGTCCTCAAAAAGTTACGGTTTGGTGTGGATTTTAGACTGGCGGCATTATTGGTTCGCAATTTTTCGAAAACGACGATAATGAGGCGGTCACCGTCAACGGCCAGCACTAAAGAACGATGATAACCAACTTCTTATGGCCCAAATTGAACCATATGGACCTAGATGACATGTGTGTGGCACACAGCGGACGCTACGATTGACTTTTTCTTGTGGGGTTTCTTGAAGTCACAGATCTATGCAAACAAACCACAATAGACCGATGCCTTATAAGTGAACATAACACAGACCATCGCTCAAATTCAGCCGGATCTATGCAGAAGAGTCATTGAAAACTGGACTACTCAGATCCGTGCCACTGTAAGAAGCCGAGGCGGGCATTTGAACGGTGTCATATTCCACGCTTAATGGCAAGTGTGGGCCTTTCAAATAAAAAAAAAATTGTTAATACCTCACACACAGCTTGTTTTATGTCATTTGAACATCTTTTACATTCCTAAAAAGTATAAGGGGGGGTCCCTTATACTTTTTAGGAATGAAAAACCCTTTACTAGCCATAGTGCCCCATCATGGCTTTTGACCATTCCAGAGGTGTCGAGAATTTTTTTAATACTTTATTTTTCATAACAATAATTCAATAGTTCATCTATCAAATATATTAGTCAAAAGAAAAAAACAACATAAAACTTAATTAATTTGTATCACTTATATAACTATTACATTTTTTTAATATATATTTTATACTTCTAATTTGAAGGAAATGCTTAAACAAATAGTTATTTAAACATGAAAGTGCTAAGTATCACTCATTTGATAGTCTTATCAACATAGAAGAATATATTAAATTGTTACGGCCCGCAGCTGCCCCTGCAAATGTCGAATATCCCGGGGCCCATGAGCGGAAGATTCAACGAGCAGCCGCAGGTCGGGCCCCAAATGGCCACATGGAAAAATGTCCTATAATATTAAGCTATATGGGAGAAGGCTAGGGAAATATAGTACGTACCTGTTTGCGACTCTTAGATCGCCCCAAGGCTCGGTCAGGCCGTAAGTGGGTGTGAGGTGCATGGCAAGTAGTGTTTAGTGATGTGTAAATGTCTGAGACCTGGACCAGCTTAGGCGACCAGCAGCGGCCGAGTTCCAGGCTGCCCCACAATTCTGCATCGCTCCAGCAGGCGCCACCGCTGGACCATTTCTTTCTTCATTGTCACTATTTCAGTCTATTAGCTTCATTGTACATTTAACTAACTTAAACTCGCCTAATTCCACACTCATCGTAGAATCGAACACGTGATACACGACACAGTAAGGACATTACTGTCCTCAAATTCAAATTCGACATTCAATGTCCCGGATTCCCTTATCACAAAATTATAAATAGGGAACTAACGCGATCTCTTAATGAGTCATACGGTTCAGCGTTAAATACAACTAAGTTCCTTCATTCGACACCAAAACACCACGCCGCGAAAAGAATTCAAAATACGCCTCATTGACACGTAAACTAACAAACCAACCAACACACATAAAAGGGCACTTAACGCGACGCCACAATTATAATGACTTCCAGACAATCAACCGGGAGACGCTCTCGACCAAGGAATGCGCGATTCGAATCCTAGCGCGTATATCTACTCGACGCGCGCGTGCACAATTCCGCATCACCCGAACAAGTTAAATATTGCAAAATTCACATATCCACGTAGCGAAGTAACTATCTGGACCCTATACGGTCGCGTGTACTTCGGCCGCGATAACCTAGATACGCGGCTTCACCGCATCGCGGCCAGCGAACTACTCTTCTTCGCCCACGCTTCGAGCCACTGCAAGCCGCACACGGCCGCCCCACCTGGCGGCGTTTTTTTTCACCTACATACCATCGGGTGACGCGCCAGCTCGAACGCAATTGGATAGAGTTCAAAAATGACCAAATTTGAGCATAAACATAAATATATATAAAAATGTAAGTTACTAATCAATGAAAAAGAACTCACAAGATTACTAGCAATCTCCTCCGGGTTGACATCAGTGACGTCAAATTTGAAGGTGACGGTTTTGAATTTAGACTCGAGCTGACACTCCACCACTGTTGCCGCTTCATTGATCTCCAACACAGTAAGTTTGGGAAGCTTATCCTTTTCTCGAGATCGCTTTTTGGAGCCGCGAGATTTTTTCTCATTTGTGATAGGTGAGGGAATTGCTGTGCCACCTGTTGCAATTAGTAAATTCAAACGTTCAGTATATTCAATCAAAGTCAAACTGATGCTAAAATAGAGGCAACTGGAGTTAGCCAAGTTGACTTTCTATAATCATTAACACTAATAGAAAACTGTAAATATTAATGGACATAAAAATAGTGAACATATCTTAACATTAAGTCACCTGACATAACATCGATTTCATTTATTCTTTGTAGTTATCGACAACTTAGTTAACTCCGCAGGTATATTGACCTAGTGATCTGAGTACTAGACATCACATCTCAGCACGATCCAATGTTTGTGCAAAAACACAAACTATTGGTTTTCAGGTCCGGTTACATTGTGATTGTCCACCTTCATTGTATATCCTATGCAGATGCGTTGCCACCATAGAAGACTAAAATGGAATGCCTTGTTACCAGTAAAAAGGGTCTACCATTCTCATCACTTACCTATACTACGTTTAGGCATACGCTGCAGAGGGGCTTAAGCTACTTCAAAGGTATGGTGATTGCCGAGGTGACAGCTTAATGCAGGCAAGTAATACCAGAAAATCTCCTGGTTTCCTATAGTGTATGACAAAAAATATTCAGACCGGCTATGGGGATAGTTAAAGTTAGCAATATACTCCTATTTCAACTATTATTCTGAATTTAGGATGCAGATCATAATCTAATCGCACAAGTGTAACGTAAAGTATAGGTAGAATTCAGTATTCAGTAGCTGTAACCATAGTCGAAATTGGACAAATCATCTAAAAATACATTTATATCAACAGTTAAATAAAATTTTATGTACCTTCTTGTTGGGTTTCCCCTTGCTTCTCATCTACGGAACTCAAGTCTGGTGGCTTTATCGATTCCGGATGTGTAGCCCCTGAGGGAAACTCCGTCATAGGTGTCAGAAATTGCTCCTTCTGGCCCCCATTGCTATGATGTCCATTATCCGAGTGATCGGACTGTATGTTCAATTGTTGCGGTATAGATTCTTGGTTTTGAACAGAGGACTGAACTGAAGGCTGAACAGAGGGTTGAACTGTAGATTGGGTAGAGGGTTGTACAGGAGGTTGGGCAGAGTGTACTGGAGGTTGGGTAGAGGGTTGAACTGGAGGTTGGGCAGAAGGTTGAACAGGAGGTTGGGCAGAGGGTTGAACAGGAGGTTGGGCAGGTTGAACTGGAGGTTGTGCAGAAGGTTGAACTGGAGGTTGTGCAGAGGGTTGAACAGATTGAATTGAGGGTTGAACAGAAGATGGAATTGAGGGTTGAACAGAAGGCTGAACAGAGGGTTGAACAGACGGCTGCACAGAAGGTTGAACAGATTGTTGAACTAATGACATCTGAGGACCAGATTCTTGAACCGTTGGAGGGTTTTGTTGTACAGATGTAGGAACAGAAGACTCTACTGCCTGATAAGGAATATTCTGCATGTTCTGGACGGGCTGACCCTGCTGTTGGTACATCTGCAGAGGATTGACAGAGTAATTCTGCACCGGAGTGCCTTCATGACTAGATATCTGCCTTTCACTCTGCTGAACTACATTGAAATTCTGTGCCCGTATGTTATGAGGAAGAGACTGACCCTGGAGCAAATGCATTTGAGGATGATAGTGCTCCTCTTTCTTGTGCATTTGCATATCAATATACGGGTTCTGGTACTGCATTTGATCAATAGACATTTGGGTCTGTAGTGGAGGTTTCTGTTGATACTGTTCTGGTACTAATGTGTGCTGCTGGTCATGAACATCAGCTGTGCTAATCTGACTTTGTTCCGAATTCTGCCGTTGATACACAGGGCGTTGCGATCTTAATATCTCTTCGACCTTCTGTTGCTGCTGACCCATTAGCTGTTGTTTCTGCGCCATAAGCGCTAAATTATGCTGATCTATTATGCTCTGTTGCGTCTGTATTTGCAGTTCCTGCTGAGCTAAATACTGTTGTTGTTGGAAGATCGTGTTTCTAAAATGTTGTGGCGATAGCGTCTGTCCCGGCAGTTGCAACTGTTGTTGTGTTAGCATCTGTTGTTGGAGGACAAGCTGTTGTTGTGCCAGCATTTGCTTTTGCATATTCAACTGATGCTGGGCTTGAACCATTTGCTGTTGCGCTTGTGCTACTTGTTGTTGCTGCGCTAAAAGGGCCGGGTCAACCGATAATATATGAGGCTGCATAAACTGTTGTTGATTCTGTTGAAAATTAATGTTCTGACTAGATTGTTGTTGCATCTGAGATCCTAAGAAATTATTCATTTTCTGTTGTATTGAATCCTGTTCCTGTTGGGATGTGGCGGCTGGAACGTCGATACTCTCTGTGGTAGGTTGCTGGCTAAAGGCAGGAGTTTGTTGTGTTTGCTGTGTTTGCTGTACCACTTGCTGTTGTTCTGACTCTGAGTCCTTCCGCGACTGTAGCGTGTCAGGTCTTTGTATAATCTGCGCAAGAATATTCTGTAAATTCTGTAAGGATGGGTCCAGGACCTGACCGGTTGCGAGATTTGGTTGCGGGCCGCTTATGATATTCTCTTGCGCCGTTAGCTGCTCTTCCAATTGTTTTTGTTGTATCGCCGCTGCCTGATGTGCAATAATGTTTTGCTGTTGTTGTATAATCTGTTGCTGCAACGCCTGATTTTGGTTACTGATTTCGTTTATACCAAACTGCGTGTTAAGAAGGTTTGATTGAAGTTGAGTTTGTGACGATACAGGCTCGAGCATCTGCTGGGCTTGATTTTCGATGAACTGACCCTGTGCTGTTTGCTCCAACATTTGTTGATTTAAAAGATTCTGTTCCATGATTACTTGTTGTTTGATGTTTTGTTCGAGCAAGGCCTTTTGTTGTTGGAGTATCTGCTGGTCAGGGGTTAGCGAGGGCGATATCCTGGACTGTATGAAATTATGCTGCAGGATCTTCATGGCAGTCTCTTCATTACTTATATGTTGTTGATATTGTTGTTGCAGGAGATGTTGTTGAGCTTGAAGTAGTTGTGACTGTTGGTCTAGCCTGTAAAATATATTTAAATTTACAAAATAACTCTAAAATTCATTCTCTCGTTAAATTTAAATACTTTTCTCGGGATACATACTGCACGGTTGCTAGCCCAGGCTGTGATCCCACACCATTGAGCAGACCAGCTTTCACTTGATCTACAGGACCTGCTTGCTGTTGATTTTGGATCATTTTCACCTGAAACCAAGCAGTAAAAAAATATGTCTCATTTCAAACGTGTATTTGTTAAAGATCTAGCAAAAAAAATAAAAGGTGCAATATATCCAAAGAAGCATTTTAAGGCAGCATCATTTTGCGAGAATATGTGTTCTTAGCCAAGGCGACTACGGCTAGAAAAAAATAATTTAACTGAAATTTTATCTGGATAAATTACAGCCCCAGTAAGTGTTTCTAGGTGGTAGAACTCCTTTTTGTCAAGGGGTCCGTCTTTTTTTTATATAGGATAGTGTGACAAACGAGCACACAGTCCACCTGATGGTAAGTGGTTGCTGTGGCCCATAGACATCTACATTTATCCTCGTTTGCGAATCAAAATGTAGATGCGTTGTCACCCGTGAGGACTAGGATGGAATGCCTCATTTCCAGTAAAAAGGGCCTCCGGCCACCTGCACTCACCAAGCGAAACGCAGAGGTAAACCTCTACTTTACGCTGGTATTCTGTGAGGTCGTGGTACCACCCCGGTTCGAGCCGGCCCATCCGTGCGACAGCAAAAGCTGCCGCCTGGCTCTACCACTGTTGGATAATACCACTGGAGATAATACCACTGGAGATAAGAGGGTATAACATACCGTCTAGGTATGTTATACCCTCTTATCTCTTTCTGACGCCAAATAGTAGTGCTGACACTGCTGTATTACGGTCTAAGGGTGTAGAGACAATATAATTTACAAGCTGTGAGGCCTTCAAGTTGACAGCGCATCTATAGCCGTCTTTATTTGAAGTTGGCTGCAGGTGCCCAATAACTGCACTATCCACTTGGCATCGGGTGGACTGAAGTTCGTTTGTCACTTCAGTTTTATAATAAGAGAAATCTAAAAATATAATTTTTAACAAACAAAAAAACAACTTATTTATTTTTTAATCAATGGAAACATGCGCGCGTATTCTTCATATGTTGGGCGCTGGCAGAATAATAGCGTTGTAGACAACTACAACATTAGTACCGGAGCCCATTCATTATCTTTATATATAAAAATTACATCTCACGTTGTTTGTCCGCGATGAACTCCTAAACTACTGAACTAATTTCAATAAAATTTTGCACACTCTGTGCAGTTTGGTCCCACTTGAGAGATAGTATAGCTTTTATCCCTATAAGTGACCCTCAATATTTTTATTACGAATTTAAGGATTTCTTTATATGAAGGGTCGTCGATAAGGGCAGAACAACGTCTGCCTGGCCAGCTAGTTACACTCTAAAATTTTGTTCATTTCAGTGTGTACTCATTGTAATTTTATTGTTGGTAATGAATAAACGTTTATTATTATTATTTATCAATGCGAATTAGTTGTGAGTCTACATAGCAAAAGGAATGTATTGAGACCGACCTGTCTCAACTGCTGCTCGAGAAGTAACTGCTGCTGACGATTCTGCTCATTGATCAGCTCTTGATTAAACAGCATTTGGGCTTTCTTCTCACTCCTCTCTCTACAAAAAATATTAATACTGTTACTGTCTATTATTTGTTTTCTATAGTATGTTGTACGAAATTATTAACTACCTTAGTAAGGGTAACGATGATAATTTACTAAAATGTACTGGTCGTATTTTGTCTTTCGGACGGGTAGTTTAATTAAAGCATGTAATGTTCTAAAGCAATACATTTTGATTATTAATCTAGTTAATAATGGACTCAAGTAAAAAGGTAGTGGATCGACTATATAAATATGTATAAGTTCCTACACTCCTACATTATTATATTTACAGTAGAGGAGTTTAATAAAAAAAAATTTATCTCATGTCTGTGAATTCCCGCTTTTACATAAACATAGCGTTGTAATTACGTAAACAATTTTTTTTTATATAAATACACATAAAAAGGCAAAAATAATTAAATTCCATTAAAAATAACAAGTAATTGGTATTATTTGTAAGCTCATTAAAACTTAACCACAATAATACAAATGTTTAAATCACAACCCTGTCATAAATATCTTTACTGAAAACACTATAAATTAAAACATCGTTTACAAATTTTCCTATTTGAAACTAGTAATTCTTAAACATGACTAGTAATCCTGAAACAACTTTGAATGTTACAAACAACCTTCGCAAAGGGGAAACCACATTTGATTGCAAATATAATTACAGATAAATTATTTAAATACATAACGAAACAAGTCACGCAACGTCCTATTGTAGACCGAAGATACATGTCATGTTATTATCCAGGTTACAGTAGCTATGGTTACATCCAATGCGAAAATACAGCACAAAGTTCAGTGGCATCACTGTGTTCACATTTACTTTTAGAAACATTATTTCAACAATACATAAATAAAATTTATAAATCATCACTATAACTCTCAGTATTCGACAATTAGACGTACGCCCAGTGTACAAATCACTACATTTACGTACGCCTAATTCAAGTAAGGCTTTGTTCTAATCGGTGCGCTCTTCATAAAGGAACATTTGCCCTGAAGTGTCTGAGTATTTTCGTCCAGCCATATGACGTCGTTATATTGCATAATAGATCCAGAACTCGCCGATAAAATTTATTCAAACATGTCATATAGTATAAATATGGCAATGTTTGTTAAGCGGATATGTTGAATATCAAAGTGAAAAATGTGTGATAAACATTATCGTAAGCCCGATATATGTATAAACATTTACCCTTGATTTGGTTTTAAGCTCATTTCGTGTTACATTGTAAAGATAAAAAAAATAAAATTAAAGCCTATATATGGGCTGTATTTTTTTTATATAAACTCGTACGTCCCACTCCTAGGCACAGGCATCTCATTTCTGAGAGGAATAGTATTAGAATTAATTATAAGATGTAAAGCTAATAAAATACTGACTTATAAACCACTATTTTATTTGCAAAAAGATAATAATTAATCACATACATTTGTTTAGGGGTTTCAGGTCAATAGAAAATTATAACTGTGTGAAAGGGTTAGCTATTCGACTGCTGTTTAAAACATTTAGGGCATGCTATAAACACGTCATGAACCTGACCTAGTACAAATAAGCAGCGCGCTATCACAAGCATCAGTATCACAGCTATGCATCATGGATGACCCACTTGGCCTACTTGCCAAGCAGAGCACAACTTTAAGAAAACTATAACACAGTCTAAAATAACTAGTTAGAGAATTGTTCAATTGAGAGATATTACACGAATTTAATGTAAGTTAAATTAAGCGTGATAAAATACTAAAAAATTACTTTAATATTAAATCAAAATGATCACTATTAGGTTTACCGTCTACCGTGATTAATTTTATATTTGTAAATAAATCAAATAACAAAAACAAGACTGCGCAATTTCACACTAACATTTTTCTTCTTCAGAATAATTCGTACCAACGCTGCACTTCATTGAAACTGTCAATCTCTATCTGCTTACATTTAGCAGTGATTGGATCGTGGCCAGGCAAAAATCGATGATTATGTTTAAATTTTTACACGAACAAAAAAAGTTTGCCAATTCGCATTAGAGCAGCGCGAAGGAGCTCCCAGAATGAGAGATCTATTTCCACCAGTTCGATTTATGTGCTAAATTTTAATTTACTGAAGTAGTGGTAAATTAAGGTGCATTACCTTTAAGATAAATATGATAAAAAAGAACATGAGATTTAAATTAGAAATTGGCTAAATGACACTAGTTACGTCGTCGCTTGAAGTATACAAAATATATTTTCGGAATTATAGGAAAATTTCTGCGCAAATAGTCAAGCAGGCGTAAAAGAATGCATATGATAATGACTTTTAACACTACTCGACACTTATCTTATTATCATATTCAGTGTTGCTTAAAAAGGCGAAATTACAAAATGCAATTTTAATGAAATGGATGTGATATATCTAGAAAATATACAAACCATAATAATTTCAACTGACGTTTTGTGTGATTAAATGTAAGAGGTAACATGAATAGGTACATACTTGATTCCCTTTTTACTAACAGTTCACTTTTGTTTACTGTCGTACCCATAACTACATAGGCTAGCGATAAATTGTCATAAAAATGTCTCAAATTTTGCGAGTAGAATTTACTTCTGTACGTTTTCTACGGTACTATTTTTACTTGCTACGATATAAAGAAACTAAAAAATTATGCCTAGTTGAAGCAGTTAATGTAAATGTTGAAGTTTTGTAGTTCCTTTTATAATGTAAAGTAGTAGAATAACAACTACTAGCTTCGTCCTTATCAATAGAAAAAGTGCCCTTATCAATTATTACATTATGTATGTATAACATGAAAATATAAATAGTGAAATACAGATTCTGTTATTATAGAACGCGAGTATTCAATTATATTTATGAAAGATTATTTTTTTGATTTCCACGATTTTCTAAATCTACGGATCGAATGGAGATATGTATGGCCTAGAATAACATAGCATAAGTAAAGTACACGTTGCTTTGGAAATCAAAAAAATTCAATTTATCACAGATTTAGTATAGGCACCCGAGGCAAGTGTGACAGTGGGGCAAATATAACAAATGCAAATCATGCGGTATAAACACGTTTTTTGGTTAAATGCCATTTCTTGAACAACGCAGGAAATTTACGCTGTTGACTATACCAACAGTTAAGTATAATATAGCATCAACTATTTTATCGACAGACGTCATTTTTTTTTAAACTACCCAGAAAACTTGTCAAATGTCGGGAAAAACTCATTGTTACACAACAATGGACGTACAATCATTTATAGATCTTGAAATATTTTGACATTAGTATCATTTCTTCAATTTTGTCGAAAACCACAGATAATAATAAAGTAACTACAAAAAGAAGCGTACTGTCACACTTGCCTCATTGATGGGGTAAGTGTTAAATCTATTTAAGTTAAATTACAAAATACTACTTGTAGATACTAAAAGGCTTGATCAAACTAACATGCACTTAATAATTGATGTTATGAAACGGAATTATCTATGTTAAATCCTTACAAAGTAGAAGTATTTAAATGTCCATTATAGCACAGATTAGCTAATAGTTTATATTATAGTTTAAATTAATTTATATCATATTGCCTCGGGTGACTGTACTTATATAAAGTTAGTGTAAAATTTCCTGCTGGCGCCCTTTTCATAAAAATGTTCGTACAGAAGTTATTGTAGATCTTATGAAAATGTATAAAATGAGCCAAAATTATGACTACTGAAAAATTCTACAAGCGCAACGCAATCAATTGTTTTAAACAGAAGTCTTATAATTTAGTTGGAAGGCTGACTTAGCACGGAACACTAACTGTGCAAATAGGGTGTAGTTAGCAGCAAGTGGATATAGTTTGGAAGTGAATGATTTTCTTATTATTTTTACCAACATTTTAATAATAAAGTTTAAAGTAACGTAGTAATTAGCAACTGAAAGAGATTACAACTCGGTGCAAATCGATCAGACACATAATTTGACAAAATATATCCGACAGTCTAAACTAACCCGGTTTCTATTTACATCTAAAACATGGCGTGTGCTGCGAGTGGCAATGTCGTTAATCGAATGTCACACGAATTTTTATCTGAGCCTATATCTATGTCGTGTAGACGTTATCGAAATGTCGAACATTGACAGGACAGATATACGAACGTTTACGCGATCGCACACAATTTAGTAGCTGCTGAGAAACTATCATTTACAATGAAAATGGCAATAAAGTAACATTTAACTAACTCTAACCAAGTGTGTGTATGCAAGTAAACAATAACATTTCGTGACAAAATCAAATAAGTAGTCACCATAGAACTATGGCTACCAGATTGTAAGCATAGCAAGCAGTAGCTACATTATACCGATGACCGCTCCTTCTCAATAGTCAAACTGCAACAGTCTACCACTGGGAATGGAACCCTCTTTTGTCAGACAATTTTCCACAATCGCCACGCTTGGCAGGCGATGCGAACAAACGTCAGCGACCTGAAGCCCGGATCTCAGTTTTCTTGGAAAGAAGACCGGAGTCCACTTTGGACGCACATACAAAATGGTTATAGCGCCATCTCTAAGAGGTCACGAGGTTTTCCAGGCATTTCGAATAGTCTTACGACACCCACGGGAAGACATGAGGCGACGAATTCTCATATGTCGCCAACACAGGCCAAACTGGTGACGATAAATTTCACTGAACCTATAGGGGTATAGAGTTTAAAATTTTCGACATATTTGATTTCATTTGAGAAGATTATTTTACTAAACCCAGAACCCTTTGCATTTAAAACTAATTGACTTCAATAAACAAAAATTTAAATGCAAGGTAAAGGGACATAACTGCGATCGCCAACCCGCCTGCCAATAGTGGCACGTAATATGGCAGAGCCTAACCGTGTAGTCTTGACAGGGAGAATGTTTTTTATGATGTTGTCAGTGACATGTACATCCCGTTTTAATGCAATGTCCTTGTACAGGCTTAGATTTTTTAAAGTTCGAGATTCTTCTATCAAATAAAACACACTTTTAACTTAAGACTATA